TAGCTTTGCTCACCCTTCTGCAGTAGCCAATCTATCAACTCTATTACAACATCAGTTGGTAAGTAACAGAGTTTCATCTATTGTTCTTCACATATTTTCCCTCTTTCTCTTCTTCCACTTGCATCAACAACAACTTGAAATGATGGCAAAGCAATTTGTTTCCTTGGGCACCAAGACTTCAGCTCGTGGCTCTTCCTTGATTGACAGTAGCAACAGCTACTGCGTCAGCAACTTGGCAGCAGAATAGCTACCATTCGTCTTTCCAATTGAGTGTGCTGCTACAGATACTTCCCAATTCTCCACTTGCTTCAACTATGATCATCCTTCCAGCACCTTGAATTCCAACAGCTTCCAAATCAATCTAGAATTATGCTCTTCTGTGCAATTTGACCCTCATTTATGTTGACTTTCTATATTAGCCCCTTGATTACCCTGAAATACAAAATCAACTCAAAAGTAAAACTAATTCTAATTAATTAACACCTTATTCTAAGTAAAAATGAGTAGAAAATGGTTGCTAAAAGTGTATATATTTTATTGTCATCACCGAGTGAATTTCTGGTAATAATCCCTTGAGGCTTGGTGCAAACCGTACAAACACTTCTGAAGGCGACAAACACATTGATCCCCCTGTTTGGCAAAGCCTTGAGGATTTCTCGTAAAAACTTCTTCATGAAGATCTCCGTGCAAAAAGGCATTGGTGACATCTAACTGATGACACTCCCAATGAGGAACAGATGCAACAACAAGCAAGCAATGAACAGTAACTAATTTGGAAACAGGAGCAAAAGTTTCATGAAAATCAACACCCTCAACCTGAGTGTAATCTTTAGCTCCAAAACGTGCCTTATAACGCTCGGTACGCCCATCAGGATGGAACTTAATCTTGTACACCCATTTAGAATCAATGGCTCGTTTTCCAGGAGGTAGAGGAACATGTGCCGAAGTATGATTGGCTTCAAAGCAGCAATTTTTTTGACCATGGCATCTCTCCAATGAGCGGACTTAACTGCCTGAGAAAATGTAGTTGGTTCATCCAAAGAAGAGATAGCCTCTAACAAAGCAACATGAGCTTTAAAAAGCGGGAATAAGATAAGGTCTAAGAGAGATGATGTACTGTTGAGGTTACTGATGGAGGGGCAGAGGATGGCAATGATTTATCATTGTGTTGCAAAGAGGGCGGCAGAACAAAATGATAGCAAGTGAGCCACTATGAGATCTAGCAAGGATGTTTAGAAGGCAGACTCAAAAATATAGAGGATGAATTAGGTGCAGATGAATCAACTGATGATGATGAGGCTGGAAGAGTCGATTCAGGGGGATCCGGAGAATTATTAGGATGTGGAGGTGACTGAGTCGCCAAAGGAGGGAATAGATCAACTTCTGAATGAGTAAGATCAACCATAGCTGGTGGAGCTTTGGAAAGTGCTGTGGAGGATCCGATGGTAGAAGGAAAAAAAATGACATCTCTAGAGGTATAAATCACTTTACGATCCAAGTCATAAACCTGATATGCTTTCTTACCATGAGGGTAACTCACAAAAATACAAGGATAACCTCTAGAAGCAAACTTATTTTAAGGTTTACTAGACATATGGGCATAGCACAAACAACCAAAACTAAGCAAATGATCATAAGACGGGGGCTTACCATACAAAAGTTCAGATGCGATTTTATTTTGCAACATGGAAAGAGGCATTCGGTTAAATAAATATGCTGCAGTAAGAATGCATTCACCCCAAAATCCCACAGGTAAATTGGCTTGAAAACGTAACGTTCTAGCAACCTCAAACAAGTGTCGATGCTGACTTTCAACCACACCATTTTGTTGAGGGGTGTGGGGACAACTTGTTTGTTTTTCAATGACATGATAAAAAAAAGGGTAAACAGAGAAGTATGGCTGAACTGAAGACCATTGTCTGTACAGAAGGTCTTCATTTTTGCATTAAATTGTGTATGAAACCCTAACCGTAAATAATAGACATTAACCCTAACCGTGATTATACAATTTTACATTTTACGTCTTTAATAGCTAAAGAAGAAGAACATGGAAAAGGGTTGGGAGATTTTATTTTTGATATTGATTCATCCAAATTTCCCAAAGAAAGTGTTTGGTGTAATTGAAATTTGTTCGCAACTCAATTATTCCATTCTCATTTCTGGCCGTACTTAATTAGCATTCCTCTCTATCTCGTAGCTTAGATAGGTTAGTTATTAGATCATTTGCCTCATTTTCCAATATGTTTCAACGACACTTACTATGGCAGAAAAAATATTGGATGTAGGAGTGATGCGGACGAAGATTAATATTATTATTAGGGTTTCTTTTCGTTTCTTTATTTTAATTTGAGGGTATTTTCCAACTTTGTCGGTTTTAGGGTTTTTATTTAATGTCTTTATAAACCCTTTGTACGTCGCTTTTGAACGGCAGTTTTATTCATCAATAAAAAATCAACAGTTTTTCTCAAACCTAGCTTTTCTGGACCATTTATTAGAGGAAAAACTAGTAGTCGCGAGCTCTTTGGACCATTTGTTGAAGGAGAGTAGTGATTCGGTGTCAATTGATAGATTGTGCTACATCAGTTGGTACTAGTGCCAAGTTCGTTCCCGGGATCATTGTTTCATCAAAAACACTTCAAGTTACGCCGTTTCTGTTTGTCGTTTGGAGAAGATGGCGCCAAAAAATCAACAAGAAGACCAACAATAGCCGACTACCGAGCAGTTGAAGGAGGAGTTGCGCCTGGAAATCAAAGACACGTTTGAGCAGTATACGGTTGATTTGGAGCAGCGTCTTTCTGTAGCTATTGGTCGGCAAGTAGGAGAAGTTGTTGAGGCGGAGTTCCAACGTTTGGGGTTAACCGCGCAGAACCCTAAACAAAAAACTAGAGCTAGGGGCGGGTCGGCGGAGTCAAATTCATATACGGACGACGAAGATTCTGATTCCTCCCATTCCGGTGACTCGTCGCGGTCTTCTCGCCGGCGTAAAGGTCATGTTGATGATGAACGGCGTGTATGGGAGCCGGGAATGCGCACCGAAATATCCGAATTTGCGGGTTCTGCACAGCCGGAAGATTTCCTTGATTGGGTTGCTACCGTCGAGGAGATTTTTGAGTTCAAATCGGTTCCTTTGGATAAACGAGTACCCCTGGTTGCTACACGCCTCCGTGATCAGGCTTCGGCTTGGTGGCAACTGCTCAAACTTGAGCGTATCGATCCGGGAAATCCAAAATCCGTTCCTGGTTGAAGATGAATAAAACTGCTGTTCAAAAGCGACGTACAAAGGGTTTGTAAAGACATGAAATAAAAACTCCAAAACCGACAAAGTTCGAAAATACCCTCAAATTAAAATAAAAGAAACCCTAATAATAATATTAATCTTTGTCCGCATCATCCTTTTGCTATGTGTTTCAAAATAATTATTTTGTTTGTTATTATATCTTAAATAATTATTTAGTTTGGATTTTCATTTTAAATATTCTTTGTACGAAAAATAAAACTATATTTTTTATATTTATTTCGAGATGAAACAAATATATTTTAAAAAGTGATATGAAAATAAGATATTTTTATTTTTCGACTCAAAAAGCTTTCTTTGAACTCAGCGTCAATAAAAGGAGATTACTTTTAATCCTTATTTTCTTCTTCTTTATTTTCTTTTTAGGCCAACAATTTACGTACTATATACATCGATCGATCCATACACTGTTTGGATTTGCATAAGATAAATTGTATGGTATAATTAAAAAGAAAATAAAATAAAACGTCCTTCTTCAGAGAAGAACGGTTAGATCTATTCCATTTTCATATTTTCAGTCAATTCGTAACTACATAGGCAAAGTGTATAATTTATGCATTAAGGGTACAATATATACCCATTTATAATTTTCTTATGAGTTTTGTACCCCACAAAATCCTCGGACAAATGAGATAAATTTTTTTTTTTCATGAGTTATATCTTTGAAATTTCTTATCAAAGTTATGTCAACTAATGGTATTGATTACGAGCACTTAGGAGTGGCGGGGAAATAAAGATTAACTATTGAATTACAACATCCATTGATTTTCAGATTGGTACTATTGTATGGCAAAAATGTGCAAACTCCAAATTCAGAGCAATTATCACGAGTTGATATGCTGGTAATACAACAACATTTCTGTTTACCGTTGGAGTTGATTGTCTCACATTCATGAGGGACTGATTACTGATATCATTGATGTGCATTGCTATTATTCGAAGAGAAATAGATATGACACCAAATTGATCAGTCGCGTATGTTGTTCCGATATTTATTTGGTAAAACAAGTTTTCCTGATCCTAATATTAGTTGTATTTGCAAATAAAACAATAAAATAAATTATTTTTTGAAACGAAGAGAATACAAAACAAAGAGCGTCAATATTTTTTTATTTTTAATTTTTTTGGGTACAAATTGTTTTTAGTAACGGCAGAAAAGTTTGTGACATCATTCATGATGTCAAAGATAAAATTATTGAGAAGAAAAATTCCAAATTTTGGGGGTGGAAGTTTGACTTTTTAATAATCCTGTTGGTGATGTACTACTACATTTTAGTTCGCTAGAAGAATGAGGCGTTCTAATCATGACCTAAATTGATTGGATTGAATGAATAATAGATAATATCACGAATAACAATAGGGATGATATTACAACGACCATGGTACTTTGTTCGCATTCTCAAAAAAACTGGAGGAAACTATTACAGCACTACTACTTGAGATCAACAACAGATATTCCTTTGTAAATTAAATGCCTCATTGTTCAACAACAAATTCCTTATACTCCACGAACTAATCAATAGCCAATGAAGCAAACGCTGGTAATCACCATGGTTCTTGTCCCTCCATCTTCAATTATGTCACCTTCACGCTGCAAATACGGTCTTGAGAAACGATACCTTGTCGGCATCCAATACCTGTACGATTCCATCTAAAACATCTGGATTAGTAGTGTTGATCTGTCATTGTTACACCTCCTTCATGATTATTCGAAATGCCACAAGGTATCTGTTGCTTGCTCCACTTGGAATGACTCCTTGTCATCAAACAACATCGGCATCATCCCGTCAGGATCCCGCTCAGCTAAAAATGAGTCTGCCATCTCATTAAGTTCTTGATGAAGATTATAAATTGGCTGATCAACATGAATCGGTGGTGGTTGTAGTGGTGGTGCGACATCGCAAACAATATTAGGATTACTTGTAGTTCCACTCCATGATTGTTGGCTTCCTTCATCCCGCTCATGGACTACCTGTGGATCAGCGCTTTGATCATAATTCAAATATGACATGCTTCCATCAACCGTAGTAATACTAGTACTATTGTTGGGAAAGTTATAATAGCAATCATTTTGAACCGGAACTCCTTCTTCCGACTGATAAACTACTTGTTGATCATCAACACCTTGATTATACCCCGAATATGACATGCTTTCATCAACCATGGTAGTACTAGTACTATCATTGTTGGGGAAATTACAATAACAATTATTTTGGGACACAACTCCTTCTTCTTGCTGAGGAAATTCAACTGATCCCATGACTTCTCCAGATAAATAATCTTCTTGATCATGATTTGTCACGTCACCACGACTATCCTTGCGCTTCCGACCAACCATCTTTGCATTACTTGCCGAAGAAGTAGAAGTACCCTTTGATGAATCCTTTATCTTACAATCTTTCGAGTTATCCTTAACTATGCGACAGATGACGTAGTCGGTGCTTTTAATCCCGGGTTGTTTCAGAACTTGCTCCGACAGCGAATACTCGTGCATGTACCAAGATGCTTTACGCGCCGCCTTTGATTTCACCGTGTAATTCAACTGTTTAAAATATCCCATAACTTTGCCACCTTGCAAGTCCATCACCGGCTTGTTGGTCGTCTCCCCGCTCCATGTTCCGCAACCGGCCGATCTACAAATCTTCTTCGCGCTCATCTGAGACAGTTTAGTTACAACGTAAACAACCCTTTTGGTATTGTTGTTCTTCCCGGCTGATTCATCGTACAGCTCCCACTTGTTGTGAGGGACGTTGGAGAAAACGTTCCAGGGCTCTTTACTAGCCTCAGCACCATACAACTCCTTTTCAAGAACGTCTTTTGTGTACATTGAGATTTCTTCGCCACGAGCTTTACGCTCAAGAAGCCACAGAAGCTCTTGTTGAGTTGGTCTGAATCGGAAACTAACATCATCCATATCTTCTTGATTTGAAAATAACTTAGAAGAAAACGGCTGATTCAAGCAGGATCAAAACAAAATCTACGAAATGTTTAACAAACGAAGAGTTTTAGGGTTTGCTCTTTATGAATACATAGACGTATCTAGCTAGCTATATATTTATATATGCTGATTCAGGTGGCGGTTATCTCTCCCAATTTACTGATTGGATTTTGTTTTATTCATAGTCGGCGGTCTTCGTACACACGTTTTGTAACAAATTTTTAGCGAGTATTACGTGCGGAATTTTTGTTTTCTTATTGCCTTTAATTTTTTTGTTCCTTTGGGAAATGGGATAATGGAAGACCCAAGAAAATTTACTTGCTATTCGGAGCCCTAATTACCTAAAATAGACACCTTAAAGCGTAGATGAAAGATAATAACATCAAGTATTTTATAATCGGCTGTTGTTTAGTTGAATAAAACAACAAATTCAACATATTTCTAAAATCAAATAATTAAAAATCCCTGGAAATTGAATGGGCTAAGTATTTAGGTTATTCATTAAAGAAACTCCCTAAGAACTATTTTAGATTTCAATCTCACTACCACTTTCGGGGTTAAGCTTGGAATCAAGATGATATATCCAGTCTACGAAAAAAAAAATTAAGATAGAAAGAGAAGTACTTAATTCGATTAGAAGTGATGGATTTTTGCTTGTCTCCATTATCTTTGTCACGATAGTGCGTGGCGTTCTTGATAAACTAAAGAAACCCAGAAAGTTTTCTTTCCAATGTGTTCTGTCCACTGCCTCCATTTCGACGATTCTTATTACATTTTAGAACACTAGTTTACGTAGTAAGTACTCGATATCTCTTCATATTTTATTCATTTATTTCATGTAATGGTTGATTACTCTACGCCGCTTCACAACTGTGTTAGCCTTAATTTGAAGTATAAGACAGAAGTTCCTCTGATCTTCTATTCAAAACCACGGCCTTCATTATTTATTTATTCTCATATAGAACTTTGAAAACAAGTCCAGTTTTGTTATCTTTTCATGGACATATGAACCTCGCCCGGTATTTGATATTTTTTTTCTCCAAATCAAACTTGAAGACAAAGAAAAAGGCAAAGGAATTTCCATGATAAAGTTTTGAATAATGAAGTTTTACTAGAAAGAATATGGTAGTGTTTCGTGAATTCGATTAGATTTACTAAATTAACTTAAGGGAAGTGAAATTAGTAACTAACTAGAGCTTGCTGAGGCCAAACACACGTTCATAAAAACTTAATTTAAGCCTATGGGGTTTAAAGACTTTATAGTAGAACAACCTTGAATTCTTAAGATAGTACAACCTCCCTTTTTTTTTCATGGTATTATAGTAAACCTTAAATATTTTTTATTTCTTCCACTTCATTTCCAATGACTTATCAAATACAGTTTTTCTTAATTTCGCCCCTACCTCTCTCTATTTGATATATATTAATGACAACTACCTATGTTTTACACTCTAATTTCAATTTTTTTGTAGAATTTAAATATTTGATTAGAGGCAACAAGATAACAAATTTAAAAATTAAAGCCCTCAATTATTGTTTCCTTAGTAGTTTTACAAAATCTGAAGCGATAAGTAAAACTGGTCATAAACCAGTCAACTTTCCGCATAGCGCACGGGATGGTTCATCACTTTTAGTTGTTTGTAGACTATTGTATCAATTTCAAAATAAATAGGGGTGCTAGGCATGCATTCCTTTCGAATAATCTCTTGTATTTTCATCAACATTAGACTATATTTTGAGCCAAAAAAAAAAAAAAATGCAACCCTTAAGTTCTAGCCTTAAGGGTACAGACGTACAGTGACTTTATGTGGCCTGCTCCTGCCACCTCAACAACCACCTCAACTACGGATGCAGCCAATATGATGATATATACTGAAGTCTGAAACCAGCCCTTTTGATATATGCAGAGGTATGCTGATGATTAACACTCCATATTAATTTCTTTTCCATAGTATAACCTTCTACGTACCAGCCTTAAAGGGGGTAGTAGGGAATCAATTGGTTCTGCCATGGTGCACATTATTATGCCTAGCCTTGTCACTTGTGAGTCAGGAGTCATGACTATGTTTTCCTTCCGTTTCTTATGTAGAAGAGAAAACTGTAATTAATAATATCTGTTGGATAATCAAAACACTTAACAGGAGCCAATACAGATATTAATCAAGCATCCAAAGTTTTTTACATTTTCGGATAGATAAACCAATTGTAATTTAGTTTTGTACAATAACTTTTGTATAGACTGTTTTGTAAGTTTTTATTAGTCTAGGGACTTTTTTTGTTAATATTAGAGAGTTATAGATAGTTTGACTTGTCAGTCTCAGATTGTATATATACTAAAACTACAAAACATATGGTGGTTCGGATTGATGAAATACAGTTCAGTTTTTTTTTCCCCAAATCAAGACAAACCCTATTTTTCCCTTTTGTAAGATGGTATCAGAGCAGGACTAGATCCTGCTCTGCCATTTGCTTCCACACAATCAAATTAGTAGGTTTTATTGAGCACGTGTTTCTGATTACATCTACGGTTTGGTTTCTTGAGATATGGCCAGAAGACATGAAACGGAGGATGAAGAGTACGAGAGGATTTCGAGGGAGTGATTGCAGTTTTTCGATCCAGACGATGAATTGCAGCTCCATGGATCGGAAACTCCAGGTTCTATGATAGTTAATTGTCCTCGTAAGGGTAAAAATTACTCAATTTGGCGCAATACTATGATTACTGCCTTAGAGTCTAAAAACAAGTATGGTTTTGTTGACGGTTCATGTGAAATGCCAAATGAAAGGTCTCCAATCTTCAAGAAATGGAGACGAGTATAGTATGGTTTTATCTTGGATTAAAAATGCTTTATCACCTGAAATTGTTGTAGACTTTCAATTTGTAAATGATGCGAGGGAATTGTGGGATGAACTTGCTCAGACTTATGGTATTTGTAATTCTCCTAAGGTGTTTGAGTTGAAACATGATCTTTCTGCAATGAGGCAAGGTGATTTAACTGTTCCTCAATATTCTAGTAAACTGAGACATCTTTGGGATCAATTAGCTCAGCTTAGGCTACCTTTGGTACCTACTGGTACACTTAAAGAGCAAATTCAGGAACGAGACATGGAGGATAAAGTAATGCAGTTCCTTATGGGACTTAATGAAGTTTATGAACTAGAAAGAAGAGCTATATTAATGTTGGATCCACCTCCATCACTGAGGATGGTATATTCAAAGTTGCTTAAGGTAGAGAAGTATAAACAGGTTAGTGTAGGGATGTCAAGTACGGTATCAAATGACAATTCAGCAATGGCGGTAAAGACACAATTAGTGCAGAATTTTAAGAAGGAAAGTATCAAACCACAAGGGTCAAAACCTTCAATGGGTAGAGGTGGTGGCAAACCAAGTGTTAACAAGCCAGATAAGAGTCTTCTCTTGTGTAAAAATTATCATAGATCTGATAGGATATCCAGATTGGTGGAACGTGCCAACACAAAATCAAGTTGTCAAGAGGCAGGCTTATCTGACAGAGACACCCTTTGAAGACAAGACAGAAGAAGGTAACAGGTTGCAAGATTTGATTTCTAATGCAGTACAACAGGAGGTTAGCCGATTGATGAAAGGAAAAGGGCACATGGAGGATAACTCTCTTGCTTCAGGAGGATCAGTGCACTATGCTAATCCAGGAGGGTCATTACATTATGCAAATCTTCCACAGTTTGGCGAATTTGCAGGTAATTCTATTCTGTCTTTACTTAGTTCCGATTATGCTAATTGTTTAAGCATAGATGATTGGATTGATGACACGGGTGCAACTTGTCATATGAGTTATACCTTAGAAAATATGATAAATCTTAGAAATGTAACTGTGTATACTCCCGTTTTCTTGCCTGATGGTAGTATAAGAGAGGTGCATAAAGTAGGAGATGTAGTGTTATCTCGAACTTTGACCCTTACAAATTGCTTGTATATTCCTTCATTCAAGTATAACCTTTTGTTTGTAAGAAACTTGCACAATCTTTTTTGACCTTCCAGTTCTTTGACGCATTTTGCTTGCTGCAGGACCTTAAAACAGGTCATGTAATCGCAGCTGGCAAAGTGATCAGAGGACTGTACATCATTAATCCATCTTCTTTCACATTAGAAGCTATCCAAGAAAGTCAACAACACTATGCCTCGTATATTTTGAGAGCCAAACAGTTCAGTTTGAATAAGGCTTATACAACCATTGATGTAGCCACTTGCCACAATAGACTAGGACACCCTTCCTCAGTTGTTCTTAGCCATGTTTCCAATGTAATTCATGTTTCTGCACCTACTATTGATAATACTGTATGTGAAGTGTGTCCACTTTCTAAGCAACACAGAAACTCTTTTCCAATCAGTTCTATTCAAAGTTCAACTTGCTTTCAGTTGCTTCACATTGATGTTTGGGGGGCCTTATAAACATGCTAGTAGTAATGGCTTTCATTTTTTCTTGACTGTTGTAGATGATTACAGCAGATGCACTTGGACTTTTTTTAATGAAATACAAAAGCCAAGTTGCTAATATTCTAGAAAACTTTTTGGCTATGATTAGGACTCAGTTTCATAGTGATGTTAGAACCATCCGTAGTGACAATGGGACAGAATTTCTAAGTGAAACCTGTCGAACTCTGTTTGCGAAAAATGGAATATTACACCAAAAAAGTTGTCCTTATACTCCACAGCAAAATGGAGTGGTAGAACGTAAACATCAACACTTAATTCAAGTTGCTAGATCCCTGTTGATTCAGTCCCACCTACCTAAAGTCTTTTGGGGAGATGCCATTCTTACGGCAACTCACCTTATTAATAGATTGCCTTCTGTTGTATTGAACTGGCAATCTCTTTTTGAAATTCTTCACCAAAAGAAGCCTGATTTAAGTACTCTTAAAACTTTTGGTTGTCTAGCCTTTGCTGTTGAGAACACTTCAACCCGGAATAAATTCGACCCTCGTAGTTTTTAAGGAAT